ATATACGACTTAATGGACTGAAACATTTCTTAGCAATTTTATAAAATTATATTTTTTCCCTTTCTTCTTTTGTGTTTGTACATTACCTTTTCTTTTAAATACGTGAAATTTGAAATTGCACCAGAGTTTTTTAACTCTAGAACCTGACAAGCTAGAAAATTCCGATTTTTTTATCACGATTCTTGGCCCTACGGGAGCAGAACATCGCATATCAGACCAAAAAAATACCACTCTGCTTTGGTTTAAAAAAAAAAAACAGTTGGCCAACGCACGGGCTGTCCATGCGATGATGCGTTTTTCGCATAGTTCCCCGCAGTTTTTGTCGCTACCGGCATCGGTTTTTTCAGCAGATTTTCTACCTACTTATTTTCATTTATTTCTCTTATTTCTTATTTTCTTACTTATTTATTTTTATTTCCCACCAAAAAATTAGCAATTTTTTTTTAAGCATCCGTACGCGGCACCCAGGCGTCCGAAGGGGATGAAATTAAAACGGGGGGAGGGAGGGTGGGGGGGTCGCGCATGGTATGGACACATACCCCCAGAGTTTCAGCCTTCTAGCTTTTCCGGTTCTTGAGTTGCAAGTGGGTGACAAAAAGTGCGAACATACAGACAGACAGACACACACACAGCCTCTTCCCAATATGCGTTTTTGCAATTTGCATGTATACAGAAACGCATAATAATACGACATTAGGTAAACCAAGCCAAGTTTTTCCCGCAGCTAAGCCCCGCTGGGCCAGGCTGCGCCGTATTTTAGTAATTTGTGGTCCTGCCTGTCGTGCTGCAACGGGCTGGTATGTGGTAATTCAGCCAAACTTACATGTGCCACTAATAGCAATTTTATCCATTTTTGGCAAGTTGAACTGAAAAACTCTAAGTTTCTAAGATGAAAATATTTCTTTTTTTAGGTTGACAGTCATCAGCCGCAACAGCAACAAGGTCAAGGATCTCATAGTCGAGCACCTAGTGCTGGACCACCTCCATCAGCTGCAACGCCAGACAGCAGGCAATCGGCTGAAGAAGCTGGAACTATGCGTCCACCAAGCCATCCACCACAACAACAACAACAACAAACGCAACAACAACAACTGCAGCAGCAACAGCAGCAACTGCAACAACAACAGCAGCAATTACCGTGTGCAACACCGCCTTGCAGTATGCCACTACCGATGCCATCGATGCCATCTCAGCAACAGCAACAACCGATGCAGGGTAAGGCAAAAATTTCTTGAATTATCTTAAAGTATTCCTGGAAATTTTTTGAATATTCTTTGAAATATTAACACTTTGAAAAACAAAAAAAAAATACGAATTTGGAAAAAAAGGAATGATTGAAAATTACGAATAATCCAAAAATTATGATAATCTTAACACTTTGAAAAATAACACAACACAAATTTTTTTGAAAAAAAAAAGTAAAATATTCTTGGAAAATTATGAATAATCCAAAATAATTCAAAAAATTATCCGAAAAATTATGATAAGACGTTATGAAATAATCCGAACACTGGCTTTCATAACTTGTAGCTTTTTTGCACATAATTAAAATTTTTTTGGCTTATACAGCTGTTAATTTATAGTTCGATTTACCAACTGAGCATCATCTAGCAGCTTTTCCAATTGCTTTTACCAGTGCTTCTACAACCGGTAATTAGGATGATTGCGGCTATAATTCTAAATTTACAAGCTTTTTTTTGGAATTTCTTTTCAAATTTTAAAATAAATTTCTAAAATTTCTTCACAGTTCCTTCTATAAGGGGTTACAAGTTCTACCGGTCTTCCTGACAGAAACATCTTGGGCATGATTTTAGCCGTTCTGAGATTTTTTTGGCATCTGCCTCTATGTTTGTTGAGCATAACCCACCACTTTGTGCGTTGCCAAACGCAAACTAGAATGGGTAGTTTCCTTACCAACTAGGTTTTCATACATGTTTCTTTCCAGATTTCGGTCTTTGCCTTTCTTCATTCGGTCCTTTCACTGATTTTCCACTGTTTAAAGGTAAGGTAGAAAATGAGGAGAAGGAAAAAGAAGAGAAGGAGAACGAAGTGAAAAGAGGGAAGGGGAATATTAAAATATTTATAATTGGTAAGAAATGTTTCGGTCCATTAAGTCGTATACATTTCTTACCGTTACCACAGTTGGACCTCGTCATTTCGACAGTTATGGTAAGCTCAAATCTCCTTCAACTCCTTGGAACTCCCAGAATTCCTGGCTCTTGTGTTCTGTTGTAATGCAGTTAAACCATAGTGTTTGAATTTTTACATATTTTTTGCAGTACCATACTACGGGCAGCCGCAGATGTATGGCAGTCCGGGGCAGAGGCCAACAGCTGGACCACCTCCCAGTGCAATGCCAATGCGTGGTGGCAACTATCCACAGGCTGCATATCCACAACCGCAGCCGTCGAATACATATCCGGGGCACAGCTATCCGGAGCCATACCAGCCACCAATGCATCCAGGAGTGACGCCTCAGCTGTACCAGCAACCGGTTTGTATTTTCCTCCTACATTTGAAAAAATATTTTTCTACGGAAACTTCCTAAACGTTGAAAAAAAAAAAAAAAAAAAAAAAACTGGGGGATT